TTAAAGAAATACAAAAAATTGTTCTCACGTGTACAGCCCACACCTTACAAAGGGCTTTATCTATGTAATTTTTTTTTAATTGGTCAGTGAAAGAAGTCATAATGCCATTTCTAACCTTAGGTTCCTGGGCGGGACCGGAAAGAAATGTGTAAACGCCAGAAATCAAAGAAAATAATAATAATAATAATAATAATAATAATAATAATAATCTAATATGGGACTACACAATACACACTGACAGAACAATCAAGGCCAACCCCAGATATTGTTATTAAAGACCAAACAAAAAACGATTTATGGCAGTCCCTGCTGACTGCAATGTATCTTTGAAGAAAGAAAAGTTGTCAAAGCACAAGGACAGTGAAAAAAACGATGCCATTGCAATAACCAATTGAAGGTTAAGTCCATGGAGATACAAAAACTGACACTTTGTCAGCCCAACTTTCATCTATCTATTTTTTTTTTTTTTTTTTTTGGAAAACGCTATTTTCTTTTCCTTAGGTCCAAAATGTGTAACCAGAAATCAAAAAAAATAATAATAATAATAATAATAATAATAATAATATGAATGGGATATGACAGAACAATCAAGGCCAACCGGCCAGATATTGTTATTAAAGACCACAAACAAAAACGATGCCTCCTTATTAATATGGCAGTCCCTGCTGACTGCAATGTATCTTTGAAGATATTCAAAAAGTTGTCAAAGTACAAGGACCTTGAAATAGAAATCTAGAAAATGTGGCATATGGAAACATCAACAATCCCTATTGTAGTTGGAGCCCTAGGACTGGTTGGAAAAGATTGCAATAGACTAATTGAAGGGATTTCTGGAAGTCCATGCCTCAAGGAGATACAAAAAATTGTTCTGACAGTACTTGTCAGCCCACACTTTACGAAGGGCTTTATCTATGTATTTTTTTTTTTTTTTTTTTTTTTTCAGTGGAAAGTGTCATGACGCCATTTCTAACCTTAGGTCCCTGGGCGGGACCCGGAAAGAAATGTGTAAACGCCAGAAATCAAAGAAAATAATAATAGTAATAATAATAATAATAATCTCACAAGTACCGCTCACACATTACGAAGGGATTTATCTATGTAAATGTTTTTTTTTTTTTAATTGCTCAGTGGAAAAAGTCACGATGCCATTTCTGACCTTCGGTCTCTGGGCGGGACCCGGAAAGAAATGAGTACACACCAGACATCAAAGGAAATACAAACTGTCTTATAAAACCACAACAATCGGTCTTCCTGCAAACTACAGAAGACTGGATGATGATCGGTGTCAAAGAATATAAGAAATAAGCAACTTTAAAAGAAACTGACAAATGTAAATGGGGATTTCAAGTCGGCGAAGAAGAAGCATATAAACAATAATACACCTACTGCAGCTGCAAACACCATCAGAACGAGAGCAATATCAATGGCAATGGACCAAATGCAGAAACCATGGCAATATAAGCCTCTTCCTGACCAATACTCTGCCCGTACGAATCAAGATGATGTAGACAAACTCCGTATCCATCAGTGCTTGCTTAGTTATGTGCCATGCGTGATACACGCTTAGGCGATCATGTATCTTTCGATACATAACTGACGTGGTAGATTTTTCCCGCAGTAGGTTGCCAATTCTTTCTGCTGTAGAGCAGTTGCCATCCAAGGCTATAGAACCCAGTCTGTCCTACTAATTAGAAGAGGATTCAGACCTTACTGACAATCTAGTCAGTCAGTTATGGGCCATGCGTGATACACGCTCATGTCTACAGCACATGACTGACGAAGTAGATTTTCTTTTTCCGCAGTAGGTTGCCATTTCTTTCTGCTGTAGGCCAGTTGCCACCCATGGCTACAGAACCCGGTCTATCCTGTTATTTAGCTGGGGGTAGAAGAGGAGGATTCATACCTTTCCCTAGGGTATCAGCACGTAAGTGAATGTAATGGATGGATGCAAGGTTGAGTAATGGATAACGACTTGGACTGTGGAATCGGAGAGCCGCCAGTGGAGTCCATTACGTTGACTTACGTGCTAATACTCTTGGGATATTTATAAATCAACTTCTTCTCTCCCTTCTTCTATTTATGGATAAATGCCAGGGTTCTATAGCGTTGGATGTCAACTGGTCTATCGCAGAAAGAAATGGCAACTTACTGCGGGAAAAAATCGGCCTCGTTAGTCATGTATCAAATGATAAATGATCGCCTAAGCGTGTATCATTCATGGCAGATAACTGACAGACTGGCTTACTTTGTAAAGGGTTAAAAGATGAAACCGAATGTTTTTTATTCTTGCTGCACAGGACCAATGCTTGCTAACGAGAAATTACCAAGCAAACATGCTGAAAAATTGTGCTAACCCGAAGTGCAGTTTCTGTGATTAAATATACAGAAACATTTGATCATCTTCTATCAAGTTGTTGCACGGTAATTACACCCATTGAATAGAATACAACCTTTACGGAAAGGAAACTGTAAGAAATTAGTATGAACATCACCTCTAACAATTTTATTGGAATTGAAAATACACACATCAAAGCTAATCACCTAGACATCGTGATCAAGGACCATTTAGAACAGAATTTTCTTTCTTATTCATATGGCAGTCCCTGTCTATTGTCATGTATCTTTGAAGATCTTAAAAAAAAAATATCAAAATACAAGGATGTTTAAGTGGAAATTTCAAAAATGTGGCACATGAGGACATCAGTAATTCTAGTTTGTAGTTGAAGCCCGCGGACCTATTGGAAAAGCTTCTGATATACGCATCGAAGGGATTAGTAGTTGCCCACGATTTAAAGAAATGCAAAAATCGTACTCAAAAGTACAGTTCAAAAACTACGAAGAGATTTATCTATGTAAAATATGTAGGATTTTAGGGTTTGTTTTTTTTTCTTGGAAATTGTAATAAAGCCATTTCTGACCTTAGGTTTCTGTTTGGAACCCGGAAGGAAATGGATATACAAAAGAAATCAAAGGAAATAATAATAATAATAATAATAATAATAATAATAATAATAATAATAATAATAATAATTGAAAGCGCAGGTTCTAAATAAATAAAAAAAATAAATTAAAGTAATTATAATAAGTCGGCTGGTTATCTAGTATTCAACATTCACTTGCGAAAGAGTGTTGGTTTATTGATCGTGGCTTCGTAAAATTTACTCTGAAATTCTTGGCAAACTCAAACCGTATCCAACCGTGACAGAATATTAAAGAAACCCGTTAATAATTCATCTTTTTTATAAAAATGAAGAAAATAAAATAAAATAACAACGCTCACGGGAGGGGGGAGTCTGTTCGTAGACCAACAGCTACCCATAGAATAACTAAACGCAAAATAGCGAATGAATAAATACACATCAATGAAATAGATTCTAACTCTGAAAGCTCGGCAGCAGTTCGGGTAAGCATTTAATTGATAGAGCCATTAATTATTTAAAATAGAAATATGTTTGGCTGTCCCATCGGGAGGCTGGTATTATCTAATTTGATGTCTTTTACCTTGAACTATCCGACTGTCTGTAAAAAAACATAGTCCGGCAATCAATTTAACTGTCGCTGACTTGAAGGCCAACATGGCTTATATCTGTGCACAATTCACTTTTCAGTCACTTACAATGGCAAATAGTTACCCTTACTATTACTATTAATGTCAAAGAGAACCTCTATGGTAAACTCGTTATTATTATTATATTTTCTTTGATTTCTGGTATACACTCCAACCACAGACCTAAGGCCAGAGATGGCATCATGGCATTTTCCACTGACCAATTAAAAAAAATTACACACACACACACACATATTTTACAAAGATAAAGCCCTTCGTAAGGTGTGAGATGTACTCATGAGAACAATTAAGGCGATTAGCTTTGATATTTCTGCGTGTATTGTACCATAAAATTGTTCCTATCTTTGTAACCGGGTCTAGGTGATTATTATTATTATTATTATTATTATTATTATTATTCCTTTGATTTCTGGTGTGTACACATTTCTTTCCGGGTCCTGCCCAAAGACTTAAGGTTAGAAATGGCATTATGATATTTTACACTAACAAAAAAAAAATTTACATAGATAAAGCCCTTTGTAACCGTGAGAATATTTTTTTTGTATTTCTTTAAGGCATGGACTTCCATGAATCCCTTCAATTAGTCTACTGGAATCTTTTCCAACCAGTCTGAGGGCTCCATCTACAGCAGGGATTGTTGATGTTGCCATATGCCACATTTTTGAGATTTCGATTTCAAGATCCTTGTATTTTGATAGCTTTTGAAGATCTTCAAAGATATATTGCTGTCTGCAGAAGCTGCCATATCAGTAAAGAGGCACTTTTTTTTTGTTTGCGGTCTCTAATGACAATGTCTAAGCGGTTAGCTTTGACTGTTCTGTCTGTGCGTATTGTGTCGCCCCATAAAACTTTTACAGGTCCTACCTCCGTAACCGGGTCTGGATGGTATTCATACCAATTTCTTTCAGTTTCCTTCCTATAGAAGTTGCAGATTTTCCAGTGAAGATATTGGCCAACTCTGTCGTGCTGGTTTTTACATTCAGTGGGTGCCAATATCTTGCAACCTGATATAAGATGATCGATTGTTTCTGGGTAATTATCACAGAACCTGCATTTTGGGCTAACACAATATTTTTGTATGTGTGCTTGATGATTTATTGCTAATAGATTTTACAGTGAGGAACAATCAAAACGGATTGGGTTGAGTCATAAGTAATTTCAGTTGGGAGGAGGTGGACCAATTGTAATGTCGAATGTAACATCCTAACTACTCGTTCTTGAAATATATCATAAGAGGCAAATGAAAATTTGGTTGCATCTGACCATTTTCAACAAAGGCAATAAATCTCCACCAACCGATCAGAAAAGCCACCAATCTAAAGCAAACACAATAACTGAGATCCATGGGAGAAAGGTGATGTTGTGCGTGGGCGGACCACCAGAATATTATTCCTTTAGAGTTGTTAAGCGGTAATGAAACACAAAGGGATACATTTATAGGTCCCAGCAATGGAACAGATAGATAGATAGATAGATAGATAGATAGATAGATAGATAGATAGATAGATAGATAGATAGATAGATAATGAATAGGCTAGGACAGGAATCGACTAGGATACATAGATAATGAATCATTTAAGATAGATAGATAGATAGACAGACAGACAGACTAGGATATATACATAAGGAATCTACTAGGATAGTTAGATAATGAATCGATTAGATAGATAGATAGATAGATAGATAGATAGATAGATAGATAGATAGATAGATAGATAGATAATGAATAGGCTAGGATATATAGATAAGGAATCGACTAGGATACATAGATAATGAATCATTTAAGATAGATAGATAGATAGACAGACAGACAGACTAGGATATATACATAAGGAATCTACTAGGATAGTTAGATAATGAATCGATTAGGATAGATAGATAGATAGATAGATAGATAGATAGATAGATAGATAGATAGATAATGATAGGCTAGGATATATAGATAAGGAATCGACTAGGATACATAGATAATGAATCATTTAAGATAGATAGATAGACAGACAGACAGACTAGGATATATACATAAGGAATCTACTAGGATAATTAGATAATGAATCGATTAGGATAGATAGATAGATAGATAGATAGATAGATAGATAGATAGATAGACAGACAGACAGACTAGGATATATACATAAGGAATCTACTAGGATAGTTAGATAATGAATCGATTAGGATAGATAGATAGATAGATAGATAGATAGATAGATAGATAGATAGATAGATAGATAGACTAGGATATATACATAAGGAATCGACTAGGACAGATAGATAATGAATCGATTAGGATAGATAGATAGATAGATAGATAGATAGATAGATAGATAGATAGATAGATAAAGAATCTACTAGGATAGATAGATAATGAATCGATTAGGATAGATAGATAGATAGATAGATAGATAGATAGATAGATAGATAGATAGATAGATAAAGAATCTACTAGGACAGATAGATAATGAATCGATTAGGATAGATAGATAGATAGATAGATAGATAGATAGATAGATAGATAGATAGATAGATAAAAGAATCTACTAGGATAGATAATGAATCGATTAGGATAGATAGATAGATAGATAGATAGATAGATAGATAGATAGATAGATAGATAGATAGATAGATAGATAGACTAGGATATATACATAAGGAATCGACTAGGACAGATAGATAATGAATCGATTAGGATAGATAGATAGATAGATAGATAGATAGATAGATAGATAGATAGATAGATAGATAGATAGATAGATAGATAAAGAATCTACTAGGATAGATAGATAATGAATCGATTAGGATAGATAGATAGATAGATAGATAGATAGATAGATAGATAGATAGATAGATAAAGAATCTACTAGGACAGATAGATAATGAATCGATTAGGATAGATAGATGAAGATAGATAGATAGATAGATAGATAGATAGATAGATAGATAGATAGATAGATAGATAAAGAATCTACTAGGATAGATAGATAATGAATCGATTAGGATAGATAGATAGATAGATAGATAGATAGATAGATAGATAGATAGATAGACTAGGATATATACATAAGGAATCGACTAGGAAAGATAGATAATGAATCGATTAGGATAGATAGATAGATAGATAGATAGATAGATAGATAGATAGATAGATAGATTAAACATACAGAATGCACGGGACTAATTCATTACGTATTTCATATAACATTCAAAAGTCTAAAGTTATCCTCTTGGCCACAGTGACAATGCTGTTGGGCTACACTATCGTGACAGTCTAATAAAAATAAAAAGCACTATGTTCTATATGTCTTTTGCATGATAAAATGTCTCCATGTTTCATCCCCCCCCCAAGAAGTATAAGTAAAAAGCAACCCAAATATGTCAATTTAAAATTAAAAAAAAAACTGTTTTAAGATCTGATTTAACCCTCATCAACCCACGCCATTTTGAGGATTTGATTAAGTCTCCACTCTGCAGCCATTTTTAGTATCTGATTTAACGTCCACCAATTTTTATTTTGTTACGCTATAATAACACTTTATAGTAAATTTATCGTAAGAGATCTATCTGTCTATCTATCTATTTATCTACCTGATTTTATATATCTTTCTATATATATATATCTGTATATTATAAGTAATAATGTTTGGCATTTCTCTCTACTCTTTAATATATACACTTTTCTCTCGTTGCAACAACTATAACCTCTTCGTTTTATATATATATATATATATATATATATATATATATATATATATGCATGTTCTTTCAATGTGTTTTTTATTTTTATATATATATATATATATATATATATATATGCATGTTCTTTCAATGTGTCTATCTATGCATCTATCTAACTTTTACTGCCTCTTCGTATTTATTTATTTATTTATTTATTTCTCTGTTTCTTTCTTTCTGTCTATCTATCGATATATATATATATATATATATATATATATATATATATATATGTGTGTGTGTGTGTGTGTGTGTTGTTCTTTCCTGCTTTGTATTCTCTATGCACTACTATGTTCTTTCTTTCTGTCTATCTATTCATATTTTTCTTTCTACCTGTCTATCTATCTCCTTTTCCTCTCTCTATATTTATATATATATATATATATATATATATATATATATATTAGTGTCCTTTGTATCTATCTCTCTGTTCATTTATCTTTATTTATTTCTCTCTCTTTCTTTGTCTGTCTACCTAGCTATTAACCTATTCCAGTTTTCATTTTCTTCCTTTCTTTGTTTTTTCTTTCCATGTATCTATCTATTATTATTATAGATTTATTTTCCTTATTGTATATATGCGATATGTTGAACAGTGTTATTTGTCTGATCTAATTGGGGAAATCGTTGTTCTGGAATTTGGTATATGATAGAGTAAGTCATGAAAGTGATTCGGAACGAGAACATTTCAAAAGTGCCACGTCTCATGTTAGGTCTTATCTTGTATTAATTATGACATAAACAGAGAAATTGTACAGGTGAAAATGCAATTTGATAAATGTCTTTTTTTATTAAAAAAACTTTGATTCACCCAACAAGGTATCATTCGCTTTATAGACTAGTTCATTGGCAAATACAAGATCGATAGATAGATAGATAGATAGATAGATAGATAGATAGATAGAAACAGAATGAGATAGACAGATAGATAGACAGACAGAAACAGAATGAGATAGAGAGAAACAGAATGAAATAGATAGATAGATAGATAGATAGATAGATAGATAGATAATATTCATTAAAGTAGAGTGAACCAAGGAAGTACATACCAACAGACATAGATATATTGCTAAAAAATAAAGATACCATACTAAAATTCTACGATTGAAAGATAGATAGATAGATAGATAGATAGATAGATAGATAGATAGATAGATAGATCCGTCATTTCATCCAGGCATAGAGTTAATATTAAAGACTTACTGGCCATTCCATTGAGGCTGAGAAAAAGGACCAGAGTGACAAGGAGCTGTCTCATTGTTGTATGAAGTGTCGTCTGGAGCTGGACTGTCGAGTTGTAATGTCAGAGGCACCAATCGGTCGACAATATTTAACGTTCCTAACCAGTCCGCTCGGTTATAAAGGATAAGAATGACTCACAATTGACAGAGGGGGTCGACATTTTCACGCCACATAACGGCGACGCACAAACCGAGAAAAAGTCACAAAATTCGACGACACCATTTAGACATCCACATATACACAATTTCAACGCACACATATAATCACACACACACACAAATACGTATGTATATATATATATATATATATATATATATATATATATATATATATATATATATATATATATATATATATATGTGTGTGTGTGTGTGTGTGTGTGTGTGTATATATATAGATATGTGTGTATATATATACGCATATATATATATATATATATATATATATGTATAAAACACACACACACACACACACATATATATATATATATATATATATATATATATATATATATATATATATATTATTTTAGTTAAAAACAAAACATGTTAAAATCGCTACACAATTACGTTTCAACATTACAATTGTGTATTACCTGGATATATATATATATATATATATATATATATATATATATATATATATATATATATATATATATATATAAAATATAAAAGGCTCAAACACTAATATTCCATCGTTATAATATATTACAGAACCATGGAATATTTAGTGTTTAAACCTTCTATATTATATTCTTACTCTGTCCTGGACATTGAGTTCTAATTGGATTGTGTCTTCTTGGAAATTTATATATATATATATATATATATATATATAAAAGTGAACATTGATATCAACACTTAGAGGCGACAGGTTGTTTCATGCTAGACGCTAGATTAAAGATATCTTACTGGAATTCTCTTTTTTAACCTTATTGGACTCTACTTTGAGCAATAAGAATGTATAATTACTCGGATGATCATGAAGGATTGAAATAGAGTTCAAATATATATACATATATATATATATTATTCCAGGATAATTTTCCCACTTATTCAAGATGATCTTCGCCTTCTCTAACTTTCTAGCTTTCTCTCCTGGAGTAACACGTTGCCTCACTGATTTCACGTACGATTTCCTTTACGACTCTTTTTTCACTGCTCATTGGATTGTCATAGCGGAAATCCCTCTCTAACATGCCAAATGACTTATGAACTGAGTTTGAACTTTTCTAATTGATCTCTTTAGCTCTAAGTCGAAATGATGATTTTAGTGATCTTGATATGGGGGGTGAAATTTGAATTCCGCATAAGTGGCGGCCTCTTTAACCATCAACGTTTTAAATCAAAATCGCTGACTCGAGCAAGCATTATTCGTGATCTTTTGTTTGCTGATGACGCTGCGATCGTGGTCACCTCAATCAAAAAAGATCATTCGTTAATCGTTTTTACACCGCTTGTAACGCATTCGGATTAACTATAAGCATAAAGAAAACTGAAGTTGTCCATCAACCAAGACTTACACCTAAGCAGGTCAAGAGTGTAAAACAAAAACCACCTGCCCATACCTTTCCAATCGTTCCCATTACTGTTGTCAGCAACAATCTGGAGTATGTGAAATCGTTCACGTACTTAGGAGGCAAAGTCAATTCAAGTGCCTCTTTGGATGACGAGATAGCTAACCGAATATGAATGACAAAGAAACTACAATACTCGACAGTGTTCGAGGAAAGAGATTAAGTTTCGCAATGGGTGAAATAGAAGCAACAATACTTGATAGTGTTCGGGGAAAGGGACAAAGATTCACT